AATTCCATAGAATATTTTCCGAAGAAAAGTTTTTTAAAACCTTGAAAATTACCAGTTACCCATAGGCGGTACTACGGGAGGGACAAGGTATACGAGTTCTTACTCTCTCTCTACATTTCAAATATTGGTTGGTCACCCCTCATAGTACATGCTTTTTTAGAATCTGCATGGTTGTAAGTAATAATATTATTATCTTCAACCGTGGGAGCCATTCATGTAGATATGCTAATAAGATTTTTTGTGTCAACATTTTCAATATTATTACTTTATTATTATCTGTATCACAAACGTTTTGTATGATTTTATACTTTGATTTGAAGTGTGTATTTTATTTAGTATTGTTGAGTTATTTGGATAATATTAATTATAATAAAAATTATAAATACAAACCAAAGTAAAAAAATAAAAACTTCATACTACTTTTTCATACTCTTTTTCATGCTCTACGAGGTGTGCCGGGTGTGCCTTGGCACACCCTAATGTGAATAATGCGAATAAAAAAATTGAATAATTACAATTGAGAATATATGTGCATACACATTAATTAAATTTTAGTTTTTTGTAAGTAATATTGCAAGTGTTCAGAATAAGTCTGAAATAATAATAACGTGTATATTTTACCAATCGTTATCTTACATCATTAACGAAGCCTTTATTTTTAGAATTTAAATCATAACGTGTTTATAGCCTCCCCTTTATGTTTTGAAAAAATAACCAAAAAATGACAGGGCTCACTCAAATGTATCACTCTAGGTCCGCCTATGAGAACCATCACAGGTAAATTATTGTAAGTTATTATTTTAAAATTTTATAAGATAAAATAATATAAATGTAGGTATTTGTAAGTGTATTATTCATTTTACAAAATAATCTTATTTGAAGTATGTTAAAATAGTTATCAATAAAATACTTTTTTTATAGTGATGCTAGTCTAAAGATTTAGACAAAATAGTGTTAATATTTTACTTAAAGTATTTCCTGCCCCCTCTGCCTGGAGGGTCTAGTACCGCCTATGGGTATACCTCCTATGTCAGGACCATACCAGTAATTTCAAAACTCCGTATAAAAAAATGTAGGTGTAATTCAGCAATTTTTTGAAAGTTTACAGCGATTTCAGTAGCATGAATTATCTTTTTAAACTTTATTATAGCCGTGTAGTCATAATTATGTACTTTGTATATATTTTAGACATAATAGTGTGATTTTACAAAAAAAAAAAAACTAATAGATTTTGCTTATTCTATGTACAATGTTTTTAATTGTATGACTAGCAACTTGATACTTTAATTTTCAATTCCTTTAATTGAAAGTAAATGTTTAATTAATATTTAATAAAATATTAAAAATTTGTATTAAAAAATAACAATATATAAGTTTTTACTAAATTAATTTTTCAGTCTTCATAATATTTAACAGTATTCAACTCTCTTAAAAATTTAAATAAAAAAATATGCTGCACAAAACCAAATATATTTTGGGTAGGTACTACTTTTTCTAGTCTATAATATTAAAACTTCAATTTTAAACATAACATGTCTTCTTCAAGTTTTAACATAATAAACATATTGATTAAAAAAAAATATTAATTATCAAGTATCAATTATAGATTGATTATTTCTTAAACATTTCTATTTTTCTTATGACCCTTAGGTCCACAACTTTCACAGGTTTATTTAACTAGTCACAGCTCTACTACATTCTGAATGCGCCCAAGAACCACATCTAGTGCACCTGTACCAAAAGTTCATCTATGTATTTAATGTCTAAATATTAAAAATACATAAAATTGGGTAATATTGGTCAGTATTATTATACGACCGGCATTACCCCGTAACTTTTCACCGGTACTACCCCTTCGTGTATACATTTTCAAAATTAACTATGATTTTGCTACTTATATATATATATGTCGCATCCATATCGCATTATTGTACGTTTTATGAAATGGACAATGTTTGCATCCATTTCGCGAAATGGAACCGTGGTTTCTCCATTTCACGTAATTACACAATATGGATAATATTTCGTGAAATGGATACCTAAACCATTATCGACAGAACTTGTTCCGTCATTTGGATGTCCATATAGCAAAAATTAAAAAAAAATGTAATATCTAAATATTATATTTATTCCTAAAAATTAAATTAAATTATTATTTTTAAGTAAATTTTTTACAAATATTATAATATTATAATACTTTAATACAAACTATTATTTATTTAGACAAGCTTGTGAGTTATGGCAATGAGAATTACATTTTAAATTACCTTTAAAATAATCACATTTTTTAGTTTGACATTTGCCTTTACAATAACAGCTAAAAATACCTTGACTTCCAGTTAAAGAAGATACAATTTATCTTAAAGACAAAATTTCTTTTGTCTTATTCACTTGCTCGATGTCAGTGAAATTAGATGTGGCTGGTTGTATATTTCAAGAAACATACCAATCTTTTAGTATGCCGTGTTCAATTCCTAAACGGTTAAGTTTATTTTTTCTGGTCGGTCACTACGCCAATAACGTTAGCTAGGTCTACAGGACCTCTATCCACCTTTGGAACCGGGATTACTACACAGTCTCCAACTTTAAATATTGGTATTTTGATCTTACTATCCCATTGCATAATGAAATAATAAATTATTTTAAGTAAATATGATAATCAAAATTATTTTATTTGTAACATTTTTTCGGCTTGCTTTTCTATTCCTATAGCTCCCAAATGACGTGCTTCCTTAATTTTTATATTCTCCTCACATAAATTACATAAAATTGTTTCGCCGGAGTCCGTTTCTATACAATATATTTGTAAAACATTTACTTAAAAATAATAATTTAATTTAATTTTTAGGAATAAATATAGTATGAGTATATAGAAATAAGAGTTTTTTTTTTTTTAATTTTTGCTATATGGACATCCAAATGACGGAACAAGTACCGTCGATGACGGTAAACATTAGTTTGTATTAAAGTACCTATTTGTAAAACATTTTCTTAAAAATAATTGTAATATATGATAATCAGGGCTATAGCATTTGCTCATTTTTATGGATTGACTTAAAATGTAGCAGAGTGCTATAGAAGTGTATGACAAGTTATAACACGTACATTTATGAAATTTGAGTGCTGCTTTTTCGCTTTTTTCGGAAATTTTTAAAAAAAAATGCTTATTTCCAGTTTTTCTGATTATTTTTGCTTATTTGACCAGTTTTTTTACATTTTTATAGTTTTCTTCTACAAAGTCGTTTTTGATGGAATTAAAAACAAAAATAATTCTTATCTTATCTACGATGTCACGTAGTTCATCGTCATCCGAGGCATCGTTGTAGGGTTAAAAAGATATTCCAACGCTGAAAATATAACTGAGTGTCAAACGTCAGAATGATCAAAAACAGAAAAAACAATTTACATTTTATTTTTCAGAAAAATCCCTTAGAAAATCCATAAAATCTTTAAAATCTTGAAAGTGAAGATTTATTTTTATTTTGTTTGATTTTTTAGTTAGAATTTTATAGGTTTTTTTTTTTTGCTTGATTTTATATTTTTAAATACTTATTTTAGTGCTTATAATGATGTTTTTAAGCGCTTTTTTAAGTGCTTATTTTAATGATTTTAAGTGCTATAAGTCCCGAACTCTGATGATAATAATATAATATATAGAAATTAAAGTTTTTTTTTAATTTTTGCTATTTGGACATCAAAATGATGGAATAATATAAATTGAATATAATTTTTTTTTTTTATTTTATTATATAAGATTATAATAAGTTCAGTAATTCCTTTTTTTTTTTTTATCCTTACTAAATATTATAATTATAATTATTCATTATTAGTTATAACTAATAAATAAAATTAATTAATTTACGTATACATTTTTTGTTTGGGGGTGTAGTTTAGGGGGGGGGGGGCAACAACATTTTCAAGGGCGAAAATATTTCAAATAGCCAGAAGCGCTGATGAACTTTGCTACGGCTCTGATGTTGACCATTATATTATTGTTTCTATAGGTCAAAGTGATATAAAAAAAAAAATGGTCTACTTACTTAGCCATGCAATCGGAATCTTTTAAAAAACATTAAGTGTCAAAGAACTTTAGTTACAACAATAAATTATGCGTTTCGTTTTTTATTTTATTTTCCTAAACATTGATCATTATTATTTATTTTTAACAAATTATAGAAGTTAGATTATAATTTATAGTTAAATAAACCAAGTTAGCACTTGGGTATCAGTTCAAATCAATTATAAAGTGCAATAGAATTTTATGATGTCAAATATCTATTTCTTGTATGATGTAATTATTTTACTATTTTTCAGTTTAAGGTCAATCCATTACGATCAATACATATATAAAATATTAATATACTTAGATTATTATACATAATTTATATAATAAAATAAATAATTTGAATATAAAAGTATATAGCATATTTTACATTAGAATTAAATAAAAAAAAATTACAATATAAAATCCAATAGGAATTAAAACAATTTTTGTTTTTAAAGAAAAAAAAATGTCTTCAAAAAATTATTATTACTTATTACAATAAATGTTATAAAAAAAGACAATGTATAAAGTCTTCAATAATAAATCACATTAAAGTAAAATTAATAGAGAATACAAGTAATTTGTCATTGATACTTTTGGTTTAGTAGTTTTTACTCAAAAATATTCATAAACAATAAAATATAATACAATACATAATTTCATTAATATTAATTGATTTAATGTTCTATAAGATGCAATATATTGTTTTGATTAAGAGTATAACTTGAGATTAATGCTTATTTCAATCGTACAATTTGTTTTTGATTATAACAAACATTTAAATTTAGAGTAGGTACCTATAATACTTTTTTTTTTTATTATTAAATTAATCAAAATGTTATTATATTGAAAAATAAATAAATAAAAAATAACTATATAATATAATAATATGATCATTCTATTTATTGAGTTTTACAGCTCAATTCAACTTTTAAAATACATTTACAGACATTTAAATAATTTGGAAAACATTAAATAAAATTTATAATCAATTACAATATTTACATTATCCTACACTTACAACAATTATCTGTTTCATTATCATCACTAATAATTAAATTTCTCTCATTATCAGAATTATTTTCATTAATATTAGAATTGATACTATTACCATTTTGATGACTTCTTTTATTTCTTGATCTACTTCTTTTTCTTGACTTCCTTATTTCATTTAAATGTTGAGGATTATTTTTAATTTCAAATTGTTCAATTTTGTATCCATACTCGCCCATTATATTTATTCGAAAATATCTATCTACATTATCTTTTGATGATGTATCTTGATAATTTATTAGTATTGTATTTAATACATTGTAATAATATGGCTTATCATCAAGAATATCATCTTCCAATGCTATTTTTATTTCATTATTAATTAACTTAGCAAGATTAAACCTCTGGGGTTTATATGTAAATGATGAATAATGACTCTAAAAAGTAATTCACCAAATTAATTATTAATTATAAAATCAAGAAAAAATAATGTTAACTTATAATTTGATGGAGTGTTTAATATCATTTAGAAAATGTTTCACATATTACACTACAGGATGTAAAACAAAAACCTCTCTAGGTGTTTGGCTATTTAGTTATTCTGATAAACACATACTGACAAGTTCAAAGAGAATAAGAAATTAATTGTTATTTATAAATTAACGTCAAGAAATATTTGATTAATATAATTTATTTTTAATACACTTTTGCTGAAGAGTGAGTTTTATTCATATTCATTTTAAACAGGGGATTTCAATAGAAACTCATACTTCAGTCCCAGATTAAGAACTCAGTTCATTTTAATTTAACATATATTGAATAAAGATAATTTTTTTTTTTAATATGTGGATGAGCTCTTTCGGTTTGTACTATTAATACTAGTACACTAAAAAAGATGCCTAAATTAAGTACATTATTCATGGCTATGAGCTACTTTTTGATTTCAAGGAATTTTACTGTGCTTGAATCGATTATGTAATGTATAATATAATAATAATAAAAAAAATATTTTTTTTATTAATTTATTTCATATTATAAGGCAGTGGTTCCTAACCTTTTTTTATATCTGTGTACTGCTAGTATAACTAACAAATAAAATAACATTATTTTACATATATAAAGCTTTTTTTATAAATAATTTTACTAATTTAAATTACACAAATAAATAAGTATTTAATGCACAAAAATAACATAAAATATTAATAGTTATTATTAATTATAATGAATATAAACGAATAATTTAATGGGGCAGTTTATGTTGTGTTGAATAAATCAGGATTTTAACTGAGCTTTAAGTCTTAAGCTGTTTTCTACTTCCATTTTGTTTCTATGCTGTAGATATTTATGAAATTAGCTAATATCAAATAAGCCAAACAATAATAATTAAAATATAATTATTTCTAGAAAAAAAAATTTTCCACATACCAAAGGTTGGGAACCGCTGCTATAAGATATCTAGTAATGACTGTGTATGAAATAATAAAATAAAATAATACCCATTTATTTGAAAATCAAATTACATAGTATTGATAATAATTAATGTTGTAATTAATAATTGTATTTGTAAGTTAAAATATTTTATGTCAGGTAGGTGTATGTTAGAGGATGTAATGGTAACCTTGGGATAAATAATTTTAACACTTCCAAAATTTAGATTGAAAATCTCCAAATGATTTCTTACCAATATTAAATCCTCGGATGCAAATTCATTTTGTACAGCTTCAACAAGTAACTTAAAATACTTAACGCCATCTTCTAAATTATTATGGAATAAAACTACATATGAACAAATTTGAGCCAGAATTTTCCACTGCATAAGATTATTATCATTATTTTTTAATAAACTCAATAAATATGGTACAGGATCTTCGTTTCTATTATGTTTCTCTACAGCTACCTTCAAGTTTTCTACAAAATTTACTTGTTTATTGATATTTGATGATTGATCTAGAGTTGATTGGCCTTCAATTTTGGAAAAGTAGCTACAATTGATCTAAATAAAAAACAATATTAATAATAAAAAACTCTAATCATAACTATAAACAAGAGGCTTATATAAATTACCTTTTTTTTTGTTAATAATAATAACTCGGATAATAGCTTTAAATACAGTTAAATCATTTGGTGCCATTTGTAATCCTTTTAATAATAATTGCATTCCATAATTTATAACATCCATATTTGGAAGACTAATCAAGATTCTACCACAGTTTACAACAACTAGAGGATCATTCGGCTCTATGTCAACCAGTGTTCTACATTTTAAAAAGTACACAATAATAATTCAATAAATATTTTATTTATAAAAAATAATAACTTAATTTAACACACTTGATCATAGTAATAATTTTATTGCAATCATTTTCATGTATAGAGGAAGTAGTCTCTCTAGAATGAAAATTGTATAGAACATCATCTTTTAATAATATCATTTCATGATACTTAATATATATATTTTGAGTAACAGACAATTTGATTGCCTGTTGAATTGCTTTTTTTTCGTTTTTTCTTGACCATGATTTTGTAGTAAGTTCTAACCGTCTTCGAGCTGTTAACACTAATGAATAAATATAAAACCAATAAGAACATGTTGGATCTAAATCGCGAGCTATTTTTGCACATTTATTAGCTTCCATCAAATACAATGCATCATCACTGTACTCGAGTAATACTGCAGCCTTTATGGCAAGTATAGCAGCTTTTGATTTGTGATTCATAACTGAATATTTCATATGTATATCCATAAACTAAAAAAATAAAACTCTATTTAAATTATGTAATAATTAATACATAATGAACATTGAGTAGACAGTTCCTATACTTAACAATATAAATTTGACTATGTTGATTATTTATCTTTTAAACTAGTATAAATAAGAAAAATATTATTAAATAAATTATCAGTCATAAGTTTAATTCAAAATCAAATAGTTATTGTTAATGGGTATTTATAAGAAATTAGTGACTTGGTAAAATAAGGTCACTAAATACATAGGTACTTATCATCTAATATAAATTAAATTAAACCCAAAAATTAAATTTTAAAACTTAAACAATTTTCAATTTTTTTATTTATATATTATAACTTATGTTTATATGCTTCCAACAGCATATTATTTTTTGGTCATTCCTATAGATTCTAATTTTTTAATAATTTATATTGCAATGTAATTTTTGAACTCACCCATTGAATATGATTATTCATATTTTTTTTCAGTGTTTTCATCTTCATGTGAACAAATGTAGATAATAAAATATTCTTTAATCCATCACGTATAGATAAATAAAATTCATTAGCACTATTATCTAACTCTTCCAGCCATTTACCAATTAATAATATTAAAATTTTTGCTGTTTTTTCTTTTTCTCTGAGAAATAACTCGTAGGCAATAATTATATTTGAAATATATCTAAAAATAACCAACATAATATTTAATTTATTAATATAAAAACCATATTAAAAGTAATTTAAAAATGTATCAATAAAATACCTTTCAAATGTAAAAACCGGTGTAGAAATATCTAAATTGAAATCACCATATTTCTTATTAATATGAGAAATTAAGTCTTTTTTAGACATTGGTAGGTCCCATGTAAATAAACAATCCATAGAATTAATTTTATTTAAAATTGTTTTCTTAAGTAAATTATATTTTTTTACATTAATTTGCTCATCGCTATAAAGAGATCCAGAAATATAGTTTAACTTATCCTCTGTACTTTGGTCAATTAACTCATTCAAATGTTTATCTAAAACAATAAACAGTTTGAAAAAATTTTCAAACGTTTTTGAAGGTTTTGTATCATTTTCTGTGGACTCATTGACTTGATCACACTGAGACAAAAATATTTCTATACTTCGACTAGTAATTTTCATTGTTTTTAATAATACTCGATCATTAAACTTGTTTTCAGAGTCAAGTTTCAAAGCTAACCCATTATATAAAGCAGTAAACATTTTTACTGTACCTATTTAACATAAAAAAAAAACCAATTACAAATTAGAAAATAAATATTTTTAATGTGATCTTCAAGTTCCCAATTATTTATACAACATAAAAATAATAATTTAAAAATAAATGTATCAATTTTTATTCTTCAACATTTTGCTTGCGAAACCTAATTCAATAAGGTATGAATGTTAAAAAGTTGTCATTGTTAAACATGGGTGGAAATAAGTACTAAAAATGATTAATAATTAAATATTAAAAAAAATTGTTATTATAAGTAACGGATAAATTCAACATAATCCGTTTATAGCTGTTGTCATAAAATAAGAAATTGTGTACAGCATCTTAATAATTAATAGTATGACATGTTCTCAAAATTAATTTGATTAACATTTGATAAACATTGAGCTGTAATCAGTAACCACGAATAATATGAATACAAATTAATAATTCAAACTGTATACAGTCATAAACGTTTTATATGCAACAAAAAATATTTTCAAGTGTCAATTCTTACTAGTTGCACATCTCAACACAGATCTCACCCACTATTACATGTTTTTATCGAAGCTAACCTTAAACATAAAATATCATAAGTAGGGCCCGGATTTCAATGCAAAGTGCATATTTTTTTGGTTGATCATACACAATGCTTTCTAAGAAGATTATTCGTTTTATGTAACGAGGGTTTCAAAACTACAAATTTTATTTTGCATTTTTTTTTCATATTTTGACGTTTTTTTATTTTTAGAGCATTTTTAGTATTATTGGTTCATTTTATTGGTTTTGTTCAATATACTAAACAAATTTAGCCTATTCAAAATAAAATCAAAAGAAAAATTATTTTCTTGATATTTAAGTAGGTTTATCAGGTTTTATACACATTGTCAATCTTTATTTTTTGATTCATTTTTATCTTATCTTAATTTATTAATGACTATGGAACGTCACCAGTATTAGGTCAAATAACAAATCAACTTTAGTTCGTATTACCTCGAAGACTTTGCTTTTATTACGAGTGAATGTGATTTTAATGTATTAAATAGTGTGTTAAATAATGCCCAAAACAAAAAAAAAAAATGTTTCATTTTTAAGGACATTTTTGGCTATTTTTTAGAGCATATTTGTATGGTTTAAAGTGCATTTAAATCCGAGCCCTAATAATAAGTAATAACAGTAAAAAAAATTATGAGCTGCAAGAACTGAAACGAAAAAAAAAAATTGATTATAATTTGTTTGTACTAAACGTAGTTTAACGTTTCAATTAGCGTTTAACTATTTAGTTTTATTATATTTTTTTTAATGTTAAAAATACGTAAAGTTATTTGAAAAAATGTTATCAAGTACTTATACATTTTTAATCTTATTAATATTATTCATCGTACGGTTACTATTCGTAAATACGATTTATATGATAACCATACGAGTATAATACCGACTAGGGAAGTGCCGTCAGTACCTATATATATTTTATGTACATTATGAGAATGACGGTGTTTAATAATTATTAAATATTCAAGAAAATTGTAATGTACATAGTTCGGTATTACGTCTAGCGAAAAAGCAGTAGAAACGCAGACGTTTCTAAAAAAAAAAAACATTCGGAAAATATTATAGAGCATACATACGCGAAATTATCATGCGCGGACGGCAATAACAGGACCACGCGCACTCTCACCGATCGTGTACTCAAGTGAAACACAACAGAACCGGCACTTGAGACCGATGGACTTCAACTGATAATCATAACCGCGTGCACAATGTCCACAACATATGAGTTACACGCAGTAGTACCACTAATAATGAATGTATGACGCTATTTACCTTATTACCTCGTTGCCAGATTCACCGAATTGTAAATTGTACGTTAATGATACTTAACACACGACAATATTCCTAACCAATCGACGTTTCGTATTAAAGCCGAAGACTCGAAAAACGCATGCACGGAATTATAACATCGGCGTTTCTGACCGCTTTGGCGGAAGGGATGTATTACGTACTCGCTCTTTTTATACAAAACATAATTCCTTAGAAAAAAGGTTACGTCACAACTACAACAATACCTATTATTGTATCGGACGATTGGGCGATTTGGCCAAACAATCGTTTTTTTTATTTATGTCATATATAGGTAGGGTTACCATAATATTTTTAGACCAAATCCGGACATCAATTTCGTTTCACGAGGAGAGGGGGGGGGTATAAAAATTGAAAATAAACAATATTGTTATTTCATTAATACAATTTTACTTAGATCTATGAATAAAATGTCTACATAAGAGTTATTAGGTTAAATATGTTAAAATAATACAAATATGATATATATAAAAAAAAATAAATTACATATTGTACATTTATACAGAGTGAACACAAAAATCTGTCACCTGATATAACATTTTGTATCAATATAACCCAGCGTTTCTCAACCAGGGGGTCGCGAACACCTTGACTCGGGGTCGCGCAGGTCAAAAATAATAAAATGCTGATTTACAAAATGCACCTTTTTATTTAAATATTTAAGATTTTTTAAATAATTTTAAATAAATAATTAGTGTGATCTTTGAATTTGTTTTGCATTTAAAAGTTGCTTAATTTGTGGTTCAACATCTGAAACACAAAAGTAAGTTATTTTCTAGTGATAACAAACGATTTCTGTACTTTGTTTTTATTGCCACCATGGATGAGAATCCTTTTTCGCATAAATAAGAAGTAGCGAACAGAATCAAAATTTTCAATGCCTCTATTACCAAACTTCCATATTCATTTTTCCGGGCAATCCAAATCTTATTTAAATCTTGAAATTCAAATTGTAGCTGTAATTTCTTATCAGTTGGTTGTGAGTCTCAACTGGTAATTTGGCAACTGCAACAATATTTTCATCAAATGGATTAAGAACCCATCTATTTGAGAAGTCATTGTCGTTACACGAGAAATATTCGAGTAATTGAATTTTCAATTCTCTTAAATGTGTTTTCATAGTATCAAAAACATGATCAAGAATAGGACTTTTTAAGTTTACATTTTTTTCAATGTAATTTGATGTTAAATCAAATGCATCAAAATTTCGTTTTTCGAGACGAATGATCCAAATTCCAAGTTTTTTGATAAAAACATTAACTTTATCTGACATTATTAGAATGTTCTTTTCACGGCCTTGTAAGCTTATATTCAAGTCATTCAAATGTGAAAATATATCACTCAAATAAGCCAAAAATAGTAATGTCTCATTATCTTGGAAAAAAGTTAAAAATGTGTTATTTCGATCTTTAAAAAATATTATTAATATTATTATTA